GTGAGAGGGTCATGGCCGGCCAGGTTCAGAAGGTTCAGGGGGCCGGCCGGCCACTTCCCATGGCCGGCCGACCAAGGGTCAAAAGGGTCAACGACAATTGCTGGTCGGCCACCCCAAAAAGGTGGCCTCCCATGTGTGCACAACACAATTATGTAATCAAAACTCAGAAAAAGTGAACCAGAAGAGAGAAAATACCATTTTTTAGAGGGGGTCAAAAGGGTCAAGTATAATAACTAGTCGGCCACCAAATATTTGTGGCCTCTCAGGTGTGTACAACACAAATATGGGGTTTAGGGTTCAAGAAAGTGGCCCCGGGGTGGTCAACATTGGCTTTTAAGTGAGGAAAACGGGCGTCGAAGAGTGATGAAGAAATAAAGTTGGCTTTTCAGAACAATTGCTGGCCTCCCACCCTCCTATAAGCTTCCTAACTATGAAAATAAGGTCTCCACCAAAAATAAACCAAAACGGATGCAAAACGGAGGTTCGGGGACCGAAACGCGCGGCCCGGGGCCCTGAAAATGGGCTGTCAAGCACCGGAGGTGGCGTTCGACCACGAAGTTGGTCTCTCAGGCCACAGTGTCCCTCAAAAGGGAGGAAATAAGGTGTATGCCAAAACCCGGAGCAAAAGGAGGTGGTTAAGCGGTCCCGAACCGAGGCACACGGCTGACGGCTCCGAAAAACTAGAAACCGAGCTCCAAACGGGAAAAAAATGGCCTACGACCATGAAACGTAGCCTACGGCCACTGAGAGATAATCTACGACACCTCTCCCTCCCTTCGGGAAGAGAAAACGGAGAAAACGAGACCTGGTTCGCAAATCGAGGCAAGGTACAAAAGAGTCTGGAAGTCCGGAGGCAAGGCTTATAGCCGGGACTCTGAAACTTCTGAACGAGCACAATATGCGACATCACCAAGCGCTCAATCGGTGACGTCTGAGTCTTAAGGTCGGTCAAAAATTGGGTGCCTACAGTAGTATATAACAATCCCAATCAAACAATCAAGACAAATCAACATAACGATTTTAACGTGAAAAAACCACAATTGGACACCTCCAACTGTGATTAAAAAACTACGGGCAACAGCCACAAAACAATCCACTAAGAAGATTTAAAGGAATTACACAGGTATACTCTCAATTACCTAGCGAATCCACGCCTAATTGAACCAACCTCTATGTGCCTCTTCCAACCCCGTCTTTACCTCGGAATTCTCTTTACGATGAGCCACTCCAGAATCCACCGAAACTTCAGGCTCGAATTCTTCAGAATCCACCGAAGAACAACTCTCTCTCTCTTATGTATAACAAACAAAACCTTTGATGTACCCTCTTTAAACCATGTGTTGAATACTCAATAAAACATCAAAGAAAACTAACAAAATATTCCCAGATATAAACCTTAAGAACCAAAAAGAAGATCTAGAGGAATTAAATAGTTTTGGGAGAAAATCAACTATTTATAGAAAATCCAAAAGTAATCCTAGCTTTGGAAGAAATCCAATTACTTATACAAATCCAAATGTAATCCTAGTTTTGGAAGAAAATCAACTTCTTAAAGAAATCCTTTTCAAACGGGATTGCCAATAATAAAACCTAACAATCTCCCCATTTGGCAATGTCGTGACAAAACACACCTAACAAATAAAATCCTAATCACCCCAACCCATTACAACCAACAAACACAAACTTCTTTCTCAAGATTAAGATCTGCAAAACAGCTATTAGTGCCACAATCTCCAAAACAACTATTAGTCTCACAAGAGTATATGAAAAAACAATAAACATATGGCCAGATTATCTTGAAGCATTTGAAGCATAAGATGGAAAACATGAATAGATGGGACTTGGAGATTTTAAGAACATATAATATGAAAACTTGAAAACTTTAAGAACATGTAGCATGAAAACCTGAAAACTAAGACACATACTCCCCCTTTTTTGTCACGAATTAACAAAGGAAGCGCAATCAACTAAAGCCATATCATAAACCACACAAGCAATGATATGATGATGTAAATATCAGGAGTATGCAAGAAGGAAATAATAAGCAAACAGTGCATATCAACATGCAAAATAACTAAAGCCAATCTCCCTTACCAAACAAAACAAAGTGTTCATGCTAACAAACTCTTGTAATGATAAACCAAACTCCCCCTTACTAAAAACAATGAACAAGAAGAAAACGACAAAAAATAATATGGTGGAGCAAGCAAGGAATTTCTGATTTGTACCTTGAAACACACAAGATTATCCAAGAAGCACCACTACAAAAAAACACAATGTGCACAGCCTCTAGAAGATTCCTCATAAAAGAAAGTGATGCATTATGTGAAAAGCATAGATCCCATGATAAAAGTGTGTGTGTGACTCTTGGAGTTCGACAAACACAAGATTCAATCCTAGTAGTGATCTGAAAGTTGAACCTCTGACAAGAGAATCTAAGCACAACAAAGGAAAGTCAAACTACTAGGAATCAAGGAGTATTTGGTGAGTAAAGGCGGAGGCTCCCCCTCAATCAATGAATCCTTTATTTTTTCCTCTTTTTTTCACATCTTTTTCTTTTCTTTCTTTTGCACATCTTTTTTTTGTTTTTGTTTCTTTCTTTTGCACATTTTTTTCTTTCTTTTTCTCACTCATTGGTGGCCGACACGCTCAAGAGTATGGAAACCGAACCAGAGAAGTATGGATATAATAAAGATGGCCTGGTTGGTGACTCTGAGGTAGCCTTTTCCTCATGGCTAGGCTACAAAGAATTGAGGGGAAAGCCGTGGAGGTGCAAAAAGATGGAAGATGGTTAAGAGACTCAACATCACCCATGATATGCTAGTATAGGTCAATTCCTCTAGAAACGCAAAAGATACAATGCCAGATGTCCACAAAAAAATAATCACTAAGGTGGAAGACTCTGATATTTGCTAATCCAAGAGTGTGTACAGAATGAGACATACTAATCAAAAAACACACACTCCAAAACGAGTAATGACCACAGAAAGCACACATATATTAACATGTAATGGATATTCTTATCAATTCCAATATGCACCAAGGACCATTCAAAAATTTCAAGCTTGCAAAACCATACTAAAGAAAATCTTTTTGGATTTTTTTTTTTTTAAATAAAGCAAGATAAAAAAAATGAACAAGCACACATGTAATGAAAAAAAACACACAGAAACCCAAAAACTAAAGCGACAATACAAATTAACACAAGTCAAGTTTTCTCACCCAAACTGCTTTAGTATGAACAAAGTTGTGAGCATTGCGGTTCTTGGGTGGTGTCTTGACGTTGTGGTTCCCTTTCCCTTCAATGGGAACCCGTCTCGACTTGGCTTCCAACTTCCAATTTGTAGGTCTAGGCAAATACACTCTCCCATACAACTTATAACAATAATGGCGAATATGACCATGCATACCACAATGATGACAAATAAAAACAGGATGTACAGGGTATACCTTTTTTTCTTTTACCTTACCAACTCTAGGAAGCTTGAAAAGCCCATCCTCATGTTGAATTTTTTGTTTTCCTTTTCCTTGAGTTCTTGTATCATGAGATGTAGATGCACTCTATTTTTGCTCTTTGTTATCACCAAAGCCAATGCCACTCTTGTCACAACTCATTTGTTGAGACCCAATGATATCCTCCAAAGTCTTTGATCCTTTGTTCCAAAGACCAATGGTAGCCATAACACACTTAAGCTCTTCGTCTTTCTTGATCAATAGTTCTTCCAAAGCAACTTGTGACATCTCGAGAGATTCAATCTTTTCTTCATCCATGGCATGGGTTTTCAGCAGCACATTCCTCTCTGTCTCACAAGTCAATAGTTTTGCACAAAGAGCTTGTCGATCATCAGCTATCTTGATGGCATCAATCCTGGCATCGGAAATCTCCTCCTTAAGTTTGACATTCTCACTTTCACATGATTTGAGTTTCTTTGTGAGTTTGCCATTTAATTTGAATAAGTTAAGAGACTCCTTATACAACTTTTTATAAGCTTCCTCAAGCTCTTCATCATCACTCTTCGAGGATTCGTCAAGTAGGGGTGGTCGAACCATAGAATTTTCCTCACGAATTGAATCCATTATCACAAATCAAACAAGATCTCGTTCTAAAAGAATTTTTTTAAAAAAAAAAATAGAACGACTTACTCTGATACCCATTGAAAAATCTAGAAATCCCCTAGATATTGATTTGTGATTATGTAACAATTTTAAGCAGTATATAACAATCCCAATCAAACAATCAAGACAAATCAACACAATGATTTTAACGTGAAAAAACTACAATTGGACACCTCCAACTGTGATTAAAAAACCACAGGCAACAGCTACAAAACAATCCACTAAGAAGATTTAAAGGAATTACACAGGTATACTCTCAATTACCTAGCGAATCCACGCCTAATTGAACCAACCTCTATGTGCCTCTTCCAACCCTGTCTTCACCTCGGAATTGTCTTTACGATGAGCTACTCCAGAATCCACCGAAGCTTCAGGCTCGAATTCTTCAGAATCTACCGAAGAACAACTCTTTCTCTCTTGTGTATAACAAACAAAACCTTTGATGTACCCTCTTTAAACCATGTGTTGAATACTCAATAAAATATCAAAGAAAACTAACAAAATATTCCCAGATATAAATCTTAAGAACCAAAAAGAAGATCTGGAGGAATTAAATAGTTTTGGGAAAAAACTAACTATTTATAAAAAATTCAAAAGTAATCATAGTTTTGGAAGAAATCCAATTACTTATAAAAATCCAAAAGTAATCTTAATTTTAGAAAAAAAAATCACCTTCTTAAAGAAATCCTTCTCAGCCAATAATAAAACCTAACATTATTGTTAAGAAGATGAAAATATTCTTTTCTTGGCTTGATGTATGCTGGCACAATGTTTGATGCTTTGCTTCCTGGGATAAAAGGTGGCAAAGAACATATACTAGCTCCTCCTTTTTCTCTTTTCCTTTCCCTGTTCCTTTTCCTTATGATATTCTTTCCTTTTCTTGATAAAAATGTTATACACAGGCTTGACTCACTTGACATTGAAGTGCATTTGCATAATGAGAAGAACATTATCCCAACATCATCCACTTTGATTGTCTTCAGTTTTGGTTTGCTTTGGACCTTGGAGGGAGCGGCAGAAGTAGAAGTCTTGATTTTAGAGCAATCTTTCTCAATTCACGGCCATCTATACATAATCCACCATTTCACCAATTCACAACCATTCGAGAGAGAAAGCCAAAAGTCCAAAAGAGATAGAGAACTCAGAATAGATAATAATGGAAGACTTGCTTAAGATAGGTGAAATCTACTACAACTCAGGCTCTTCAGACTTAAAAGACTTGGCTCACAATTTCTTCAAATCACTCGACTTCGATGGTGACAACAAGGTCAGTCTCCATGAGTTCTTGGGTTTCATGAGGCAACATGGTCACACCAAAATGAGCAGTAGACACTTCTTCAAAGAACTTGACAAGGACTCTAATGGAAGTCTTGAGTTCATGGAAGTTATGGGTCTTTACTATATTATTAAAAGTGGTAGGCCTTTCTGTGAGGGCTGTGATTCATTCATACCAACCACGTTTTTCACTTGCTCTAAATGCTTTGACCGTGCTGACAAGCCTTTCTGTGTTTGCACTGCTTGCTTTGGTAATGGAAAGTTTATTCATGAGCATGGTCTGGACTGTTTTTTGGATAACTATGCTTTGCTTGAAGCTAAGAGGAAGGAGGCTATGGGCAAGAGAATGGCTGCTCATGCAAGCCCTGATAATAAGGTTAGTATTTGTAGATTTGCTCAGGTTAGTATTGTCTGTAATTTAACTTTGGAATCAGTTTTTTTTTTTTTTTAATGATATTTTTTAGATTTGTGTTAAAAATTTTATTTTTTTGGTTCATCTAGTTTAAAAAGATTTCAAAAGTAAAAAATTTCAAAAGTTTACTAAAGAAAAAAAAAATGGTATAATGTACTTTATTTGTCATTTTATTTTGTCTTTATTGAACTTGAAACTCAATTCTAGTTCTTGCTGTGCACCCCAAAAAAACAATTCATATAAATAGTCTGAAAGTGATGAAGCATATTATGTAATTAAATTCAAACATGGTGACATTTTAAATATATGAGTGTGTATGCATCTTTTCCATATTGTGGATGCCGTGCATGTATATTATTACTATTATTATTTTAGTAAGTGTATATATTATCATGTTGGGATAAACTACTAATATATCTTAATAGTTTTTAATTCTCATCAAATCTTATTGAAAACAAATCATAGTAAAATAGTTGTTAAAAATAATTTTTTATATATGTTGTTAAAAATTGACAATTAGTGATTTTTTTGTCACGATTTTTATAAATTGTCTCTTAAACTTACAATTAGTGACGTTTTTTAGTGATAAATTTTTTTAATTGCGTTGAAAGTTAAAAATTAATGACTTTTTGTTATAATTTTTTTTTTAATTATTGTTAAAACTTATAATTAGTAAAGTTTTTGTGACAATTTTCAAACTACAACCGAAAATTAACAATTAATAATTTTTTTAATAAGAAATAATAAAAAGCGTCATTAATTATTACATGACCTATTGTCCACTACTGCATGTAAGTCTGTCCCATTACGTTGGTTGACTTTGTTGGAAGATGGTCGCATTTAAACTTGAGATACAAATATATATATATATATATATAAATATATATGTATTTCTATTTGGAGTTGTCAACATGTTTGCTTTGTTAATTTTTTTCTCACATTTGTACATTTTGTATTCGGAATCTTCTGTGCCCTAGACTTTTTCTTATAGTAGTGTTTGTTTGTTTTATATTGCAGCCAAGCTCCACAGTTACCTTTACTGAAATTCAACAATCAGCTTCTCCATCGAACAATACATCCACTGCAATGGTTCTATTTAACCCTGAACAGGTTAGTCATTCCTCTGGTAATTTTCCTTTGTATAGAAAGCTTTCTATCATATTACTCATACCTTGAACAATTTAAAAATAAAACTGTACTTGTTGTGGCAATGCTTTCTTAGGCTTGTTTGGTTGTGGTTATTTTTTTTATTTTATTTTTATTTTTTTTTTAGAAACAAAAACAGTTGAACATTTGAAAACACTTGTGTGTTTGGTTTGCTTTTGAGAGAGTATTTTCAAAAAAAAATTTGAGGAGAGAGTTTAGAAATTTTTTTTATTTGTTTGGTTGCATATTTTGAAAGTAGTTTTATAGTTTGGGAGTTTGTGATAATTTAATATTATGTTATAATTGAGTAAATATGTGTGAGAGAAAAAATGATTGAAAATGATAGATGAGAAAGAAAAAGTGATTGATTGATGTGTAAGAGAAAGAAAGTGATTTTGAAAATTTTTTGAGAAAAATCTCAAACCAAACAATTTTTTGAAAATCTTTTTCCAAAACTTCTCTCTCAAAGCTAAACCAAACATACCCTTTATCCTTTTTTATTCTTGTATGAAATAGTTTTCTAAAATTCAAAAGTAACTTTTGTAAACATAAATTTCAGAACATGAAACTTCATGTTTCGGATCATCTACCATGTATATCATCAAGAAAACAAGAATAAAACGACATACCTGAATCCATCGATGAACGGTTAAACGGAAGCGTCTGATTGTCAATAAAACCTTGATATTGACTATGTTATTGCCTTCTAATCCTTAATGGGGGAGGCGGGGACACCGGCTCCCCTTTGGTGCCTTATGTTCTCCTTGAGAGGATTTAGAAAAACAAAACAGTGTTCTTATCTTTCACCTTGGAAGGAATAGGGACCATAACCTTTTAAAGGTTGTAATTGGTTTTCATAACTGAAAGGTAATGAAAACCTTAATTTATTGGTTTAAAAACTAAAAGGTAATGAAAACCAATAATTAACCATTATTGGTTTTAAAACTGAAAGGTAATGAAAACCAATAAATTAACCATTATTGGTTTTAAAACTGAAAGGTAATGAAACCACTTTAACCATATTTTAGAAATAGAAATTATACAACTAGTATCTACACATTAGGTCCATAACACATATATATCCTTAAGCCTATTAACTAAATTGAATCACTTAAATTGTAGGCTTCTTATAAATGATAACACCACATTTAATTATGTGGTCCGATTGAGACATTATCTAACAATCTCTCACTGGACCACATATGTATCATTAAAAATGTGCTTAACTTTAGTGAGCTCAGAAATTTGTTATCATGACTTGAGGGTATCCAAACAATCTTGTTCATTAACTATATTAATATAGGATCAAAGTGGTCTTCGTTACATCAATCGTAACTTGACCCACCAATGGTCACGTATACCAATACAGTTAAATGACATAGATCAATCATGGATGTGTAGCATGGAAATTACATGTGATGTGATTCATACATGCCTATGTCCAACTGGTCCTTCTTAACTTTATTGAGATCAATACTTCACAGTACGTGACAGAGTGTAATAAACTGAATACTTCATTTTTGCAGAAATTAATCTAATTATATAGATAAAACTCAAGGCTGACATGAAGTAGTAATATAAATACAAACTCTCACTAAACCAGAATGTTCTCAAATAGAACAACACCCATATGAGCAGTGTGCTCATGAAAGACCTTGGGTGGTAGTCCCTTCGTAAGTGGATCCGCTATTTTGTCCCAATGTGCTCTATGGAAATCTGTCCACTCTGCACTCTTTCTTTTACAACTAGGAACTTGATATCAATATGCTTTGATTTTGTCGAGCTCCTGTTGTTGTTGGAATATAAAACTGCAGACTTATTGTCACAATATATCTTAAGTGGTCTTTCAGTGCCTTCCAAAATACGCAACCCAGTGACAAAATTCCGCAGCCATATCCCTTGGTTTGATGCCTCATAACATGCTACAAATTCTGCAGCCATGGTGGATGAAGCTATGAGCGTCTGCTTTGCAGACCTCCAAGAAATTGCTCCGCCAGCTAACAGATAAATATAGCTTGATGTGGACTTCCTACTGTCTTGGCATCCAGCAAAATCGGAGTCGGAATATCCAATGACCTCTAACTTATCCGATCTCCTATATGTGAGCATATATTCCTTTGTTCTCTGTAAATATCGCATAACACGCTTGACTGCTTTCCAATGATCCATGCCAGGATTACTTAAATATATGCCTAACATGCCAACTATAAACGCAATATCCGGACGCGTACATACTTGAGCATACATTAGACTCCCTACAGCTGAGGCATGCATAAGGAATCTTCTGCATTTCTTGAATTTCAAGACTGTTCTTCGGGCATTGGCTGAGACTAAACTTGTCTCCCTTAGCAACCAGGGTTACAATTTTGCATGCCAAATCTATTGAGTATTTTTTCGATATAGCTCCTTTGTGATAATCCCAGAATACCCCGAGAACGATCTCGGAGTATTTCGATTCCTGATACAAAGGAAGCATCACCAAGATCTTTCATTTCAAAATTCTTAGATAGAAATCTCTTGGTGTCATGCAATAAGTTTATATCGTTTGTGGCAAGCAATATGTCGTCAACATATAAAACCAAAAATATGTGTTTACTCCCACTGAACTTGTGATACACACATTCATCAACAACATTAGTTTCAAAACCATACGAAGTGAGAATTTGATGAAATTTGAAGTACCACTGATGAGAAGCTTGTTTGAGTCCGTAGATGGATTTAGTCAATTTGCAAACCATATTCTTTAGGTCTCCTGGCACAAAGTTTTCTGGCTGCACCATATAAGTTGTTTCTTTAATGTCACCATTAAGAAAAGCTGTTTTGACATCCATCTGATGCAACTCAAGATCAAAATATGCAACAAGCGCCATAATTGTCCTAAAAGAATCTTTCGAAGAAACTGGAGAGAGTTTCTTTAAAGTCAATTCCTTCTTTTTGAGTAAAGCCTTTGGCTACAAGACGTGCCTTATACCTCTCCACATTACCATTTGAATCCCTTTTGGTTTTAAATATCCATTTACAACCTACGGGCTTCGCACCAACTGGTAATGAGACAAGTTCCCAAACTTTATTGTCTTGCATAGACTTATATTCTTCATTCATGGCTTCTATCCACTTATAAGAGTTGGAACTTTCCATGGCTCGACAAAAGTTGATTGGATCATCTTCGACATTTCATTTTCTACCTCATGTTCCTGGAGATATACAAGATAATCATCTGAAAATGCAAATCTCCTTTCTCTAGTGGATCGCCTTAATGGCACAGATTCTTGAGGTTGAGGTTGTAGAGTTTGTTCCTCAAGAACAATTACCTCATCTTGAATGGGATTAAGTATGAGTCGCACGACTTGTAGAGAGATATTGATAAGTTTAATTTATTTTTTATAAAACGAAAAAAGACCACATGTGTTAATTGAAGTATAATGGTTTTGGTTATACAAAAATTATTTAGGGTTAAATTCATTTTATCCCGTGATTTAGAGTTAGAGTACTTTACTTTCTTATGGTTCAAATATAATTACAAAGTCCTCATATAGTTTTGGACTAATGTCACTGTTAGTTTTTTTTATCCAAACTAACAGAAGGCATATTGTACGGGAAGCAAATATTCAGGCAAGCCCGTACTCCCTTCTTCCAAGCTCCGCTTCTATCCGATCACCTGCGTACACAAAGGCGGTGAGCTACCCGGCGGTGTGTGGCCGGAA